TTTTTTTTTTTGCAAATATTTTATATTTATTAAAAATGTATATTTATTATAGTACATAAATCTATTAAGGATATCTCTTATAAATGTATAGAAATTTTAATACTTTATAATTTTTGAATGAATCTTGCCCGTCAAATTTTTCAAGATCAAAGACTGTCATAATATAATTAAAATGATAATATATATCAATATAAAAAAATATAAATTCATAAATGATATTATTTATATTATTATATTTATTTACTTAGTAAGAGATCTCGGACCAGGGCCAGGAGCACATTATCCAGAACTATGTCCACCAATGAATCACAAAATTAGAGCTCCTGCTTATAGTATTAAATCTAGAAGTAGAATAAAATTTGATGATATTGGACCTGGTCCAAATGCATATATCTTGCCAACTTGTATAGGACCAAAAATTCCTGACAAAGTAGCTCAAGGTGCCTTTTCTATGTACGTATATAAATTAAAAATTTTATTAAATGTTAGATATTAAAACTTTTATGAATTAAATTTTGATAATTTAATGTATCTTGTACTCATATGATTATATAAGCATATAATCATATATATATATAAGCATATAATAGCATATAATCTTTATGATTAAGTATTTTGTAGATATTAAAAATTATCTATCTGCTAAAAATTTTTAAAATTGAGATTTAGAAATTAAATATAATATTTATATATAATAATTTTAATATATTAATAGAACAAATAATTTATAAATTATAATTTTATAATAAATTATAATTTTAAATTTAATTATATTGTTATCAGTAATATGCATTATTTATTGTATTTTTAAATATTTTAAAATATAAATTATAATAAAACTTTATTTATATGAATATCAAAAAACAAATTTGTTTAAATTTGGACAAAATTGTTTATGTAATCTTATGTAGGAATCTATTTATTTTTCTTTCTTTATCTATGATTGTTCGCTCATATAAGAACTTGATACATAAAAATGAGATTTATTTTAAAGCATATAATGTATTACGTATCCTAAATACTTACATATATTTTACGTTCGTATAAATGAAATAATGTTCAATGATATTTATATGATAATATGGTATGATATGGTATGGTTTATATAGTAAAAGCTTAAATAAAATTCGAATAACCAAAGAATTATAAAAATTTTCGAGATGAAAGTGTTCATGTGGAGTTCATATAAATTCTGTTTTACTATTTTATTATTCTACTTTGATAAATATTTTGTTTTTATTATTTATTTAAATTAACATAATTAAAAAATTAATAATTACAGTAACACATTGATCGTGAAAACAGTTTTGATTAAAAAGTTTTTTTAATTGAAATAAAAATATTAATTTATTATTAAAATTTATTATTAAAACTTTTTAAAATAATGAACATATTTTTATAAATAATAAAATTTTTTATTGATTTAATAATAATTGCTATATGAATTGTTATACAAAAAACTATTATATTTTTATTTTATTATATATATATATATTATATAGTTTTAAATATATACAAATATACTATAAATTGAAAGTTCTTTTTTTTTAAAGTTGCAAAATTCGAATTTCGAAAATGTTGCATGATTCAATATAGTTATTTTATCAGACATTCTTCTCCATTTTGTTATGCTTTAGAAACATTATGTTTTATATACTGTGTTTATTTTAACATCATTTCCTTAATTCATTTATTTCCCTGTGATAAACGATAACGGTAAAGATGGTCTTTAGTTATTGCTCGTTGATTTTTTCTACCTAGAATTAATTTTTTATCCTCATTTAATGTCCAATTTCATTAAAATTTATTTTTTATTATAAATTATTAAATGATAAAACTAAACGAACTAATTGCTTTTGATGATTCTTTTAAATTCGCTCTTTCTATTAACTAAATAACCAGGTTAAAAATTTTTAAAAATAAGATAATTTTTATTTTCATTTACGAAATATTTTCATCTTGAAGAAGCGAATTGTGACAGATTAAAATTAACTAATATTTTCCTTGAGATATTTTAAAAACATGCAAAGTTTTAAAAAAGTTTTAAAAAAATCAATCAATTTTTAAGTTATCGATGTTCTTTTTTATATTGCATCAATTACATATCATGTAAAATTTAACCAGAATTTTAGAGAAATATTATTTCTGTTAATGATTTGTATGTATAAAAAATTTTTATAATATCGGATTAATTTTTAAAAGTACTAATACTATAAATGCTTTTATCATAAATAAAATTGAATTTTTCTTTGAATATATATGTTTGCATGATTGTCTCAATAATTCAGTAACAATAATAGATTCAAATTTTGAATTATTAATTTTAATTAAACTTATTAAACAGTAAAGAATTATTCTAAATATAAATATTTAAATTTTCGAATTATTTCCATTTTTGACTTGCTTGCATATCTGTACAAGAGTTGAATTTCTTACAATGTTATGATAAATGATCCAGCATGATAGTTACAAGTCAAAGCGATGCATAGTTACAAGAAAATTATCTATTTATTATATTCGACATATCAGAGTACGATTTATAACAAGATATTAAATAGACTCTGTTGTCTTACTTTTTAATGAAGACTTATACTTTCAGAAATCAATTTTAAGTGAGAGAATCACAGTTTCTTGGTGAGACATGATAATAACCAATAACAGTTAGCATCTTGATTTGCGATATATTCAAGTTAGAGAAAAATTCTTCAAACTTTAGTTAGCGTTGTACTAAGATATAATGATAATTAGGGATTGATCAGCATATGTTTATTATAAATTTCTCCGAATATAAGATGATGTTGAGTCAGTCGTGTCTAGAATATGTCGCAAGATATATTTTGAATTTGAATTTGCGCGTCTATAGAAATTGCGCTTTAATCAGGCTATCTCAAAAATATATAATTGTAATCAACTAAATTCTTTTCAAAAATGACATCATCAGGCAACATTATTTATTTAGGCTTAATGGGAATCGATAACTGATAATAATGAAAAAAGATTTCCAAATGAGAAATTTCTTCAAATAAACATAAATTTCGTGAGCATTATTGTTCACAAACAATATATATTATTATAATAAAATTTCAATAATTAATTTGGATATCTAAAAAATGAGTTATATTTCTTATCAGAATTTCAATTATGTAAATGCTCAGTATTTTTATTTTATCCAATGTGAAATTCTTTATAATTTTTTTAATGTATCTTATATATGTGTATATGAACTTTTTTCATGTATAGAATCTATTTTCCAAAAATGTTTTACATTTTTATAAACATTCTATATATATATGTAAACAAAAATACTTTATATTAAAGTTTATATTAAAGAATCACAGTTCTTTTGAATTTAAAAAGAAATTTTTTTTATTTCTGAAATTATTTTTTTTATTTATCTGCTAGTACATTTATTCTTTTTATTACTATTAGCATAAATTCATTTTCCTATTTTTTTTGTTCTCATACATTCATAATTTTACATTTGTCTATCAATTATGCTAACTTTGAAGATTTTATAATTATTTTTACGATTAAGATTTAATAATAATAATTATTATAATTTTAGAATTATCATAATTTTATATTATATAATATATATATATTATCTTCAATAATTTTAAGTAATATAACTTTATTTTTAAAAATTTTTGATAAATAATAAATAATGAATATA